TGTCTTTTAAGAATTACTTTCGAAAATTCAACTTTAGCTATTTTTAAACATTTATATAGTTACAAAGTCAAATATAAAGTGTGTTCAAAAAAGTGTCATCTATATTCCTTATCCCTTCCAAACTAATTTTTCCTTCCTCTTAAAGGAAACCTTTTTTTTTTAAATATTATGACTTATCATCTATTTAATGGTAGCATACATAAAAACATTTTTTCCACCTTGCTCCTTTCATTCATACTGGACCCTACTCCAGAGAACTGTATTTACTCTATTTGAACTAATAATAAATAAGTACTAAATTTAAATTAATTAACTTTGAGTAAAATTAAAAATTTAGTTTCTCGTTCTGCTTGTCTCAACAAGTCTGATCTAGCTACTCTTGCTATAGAGTATCCAACTCGCCAAAATATAAACTAATGATGAAGCTTCCCTGATATGGCATCATCCCTGAAAGAAATCACAATCTCATCCACGTGATGGCAACTTGATTCAGTTCAACCTCTTTCTCCCTAGAAATACAAAACTCATTCTGGCCAAAATTGACAGGTGCTCTAGGTATGGTTTTCCCTTTCCCTCCCACAGTTTATCAGCCATTTGAAGACTCACACAGTGTCTGAGCTACATATATGAGATCCTACTAAATAATTCCTTGGGCCAAAGACCTGTTTTTCATCCAAAGACAGGCAGCTCTGGCCAACGACTCTGGGTTCCACTGTGGCCCACCACATACTACACTGTCCAGAAGCTGCTTGCCTGACAGAACAGTCAAATGACTTTTTGAAGGCATATCTGAGGCACCAGATTAAAGACGGTACCCTGTGAGAACATAATACAATCCTTCAAGATGAAGTCCATCTTAAATTAACGGCCATTATATGGCCCCATGTCTGCAACAATTGGAATGTTTAAGTCCAGGAATCAAGGTGGTAGAAATAGGAATGAGTATGCTACCATTCATGGGGGGACCCACAGGAGGATTTGTACTTCACATCCCCACAATTCTTGGTTCCATATGTCTAGGGTTTCGATTACTGCCCAGCCACATTGGATCCCTTGTTCTAAGAGACCATTTGTCAAATACTGACTCCATACTGGCAAGATTAAGTGACCACAAGCATCATGAGGCTACTGAGTTACTACTGGATAAAAGGGTGAATATTTTTTGCACTAGGGTGATTTGCTAGGCATCTCTTTGTATTTGCATGCCAAGTGTTAATTGTAACTGGATAAGTATATTGACCATAGGCTAATAAGGGCATGATAAGCAGAGGCTCAGGCATTGATGTGAGGGTCTGGGTTATCTCACCAGGCAAGCCACATACACCATCAGAAGTGGATGAGAATGATGGGAATCTAGAAATGATGGGAATCTAGAATAAATGAAGATAATAACAACAATTTCCTTGGAAATCATTGCAGCAGTGGTGTTGGAGGAGGTCAGTGAGAAAACAAGACTACCAGTTGACCCTCAAGTTGGAGCCATTGGAGGCTCCTTACCCCCCTCACCTGTTCTTAGAATGTTATGTTCTGCTCACTGTTCCCACACAGGGCCCACCTCAAGGACACTACCCCGAGAGAGCAGTGTGTCACTGAGATCACATGTACTGTATATGTGACTGGAGGTTGCCCAAGACAAGTCTCATATATAAGTTCCTTTGCTTATTAAAACCACCAACTACCAATCTTGAGTGGTATGCCTCTTTCTTCAGTCTTTGTCCTCTGTGTATGGGGGCCAGTTTCCAATTTCACCCAGGGAACTCCCAAGGTTGTGAAGCAACAGTGGATGGTGCATTTCCTCTTATAAAGTTCCCCCAACTGGGGCTAACCAAAAACATAGAGAAGCTGTCAGCGAATAGAGAACACTTAGTGAGAGAAGTAGATCTCAGTGATACAAGCAGTGCACCTCTAAAGATACTTTTAGCGTGTCCCTGAAATCCCATTTATTAGGCAGTGTACCCATCTCCCAGTTAGTGGCAGTATTGGCTTTTAATGGTTCACACCACTGGCTTTCAGCAGAGGACTGCCCTAGGCTGATGGGAGCCACCTTGCTTAGAAATGCCTTGGAATTTATGCACCCATCCTCACTAGAGTTGGTCTACAGCCAATGACTATGGTATAATAGCTTAGCCCCTTACCTCCACCTGGATGAGACCACCTCTAGAGCACAATTCATGCTCCAAAGTGCTCCACAGAATTGGGCTCAGGCATGACTTCCCAGAAAACAGTATCTTTGCCTGGTTCCTTCCCCTGCCCTGCTGTTTTCCTTATCGTCTTGCCTTTTTCCTAACTAAATCCTCAAGCACTTCCAGAAAAAAATGTCTCATCTCAGAAAACCAACCAAAAATCATATTACTATCCCAAATCTGTTGTGTTTCTATAGGTACACGTACGTTTGTGACTGTGTAGCCTGAAAAGAAGCTAAGTGAATAATTTTGTGATATTCTAATTCTACCACTTCCAGTATCATTGGAAATGAGCATCTTGTGTAAGAGAAAGTAAACGCAGATGTAAGGTGATAGAGATTTTTTCAAAACATCTCATGAAAAATAAAAATGTTTTTGTATCTAAATTTTGATTGGAAAATAATCTTCATGAGATATTTTTTCTTAAAACGTTTTTTAAACATGTCTTAGTTCTGTCCATTAAAAAGATTTAGAAATTATGACAGATCCAGTGGCAACATGCTCAAATCATCTTGCAAATGCTATTTCCGGGGCACCTGGGTGGCTCATTTGGTTAAACATCCGACTTCGGCTCAGGTCATGATATCACGGTTCGTGGATTTAAGCCCTGCCTCGGGCTCTGTGCTGACAGCTAGCTCAGAGCCTGGAGCCTGTCTTTGGATTCTGTGTCTCCCTCTCTCTCTGACCCTCCCCTGCTCACACTGTCTCTCTCTCTCTCTCTCAGAAATAAATAAAACATTAAAAAAAAAAAAAAAGAAAGAAAGAAAATACTATTTCCTACTGAAAGTAACTCGGACTCCTTGAAGTTATGGCTGATTCTAAGTTCATGACAGGAAATATACAAGATGAACCCAAAACATACTGTCATAACAGGTAGCAAGGTGATTATGAAACACTACTAGGAGCAGCACGTGGGTGGCTCAGCTTGTTGAATGTCGGATCTTGATTTTGGCTCAGGTCATGATCCCAGGGTTGTGGGATTGAGCTCCACATCAGGCTCCACACTGAGCATAGAGACTCTCTCTCTCTCTCTCTCTCTCTCTCTCTCTCTCTCTCTCTCTCTCTCTCTCTCCCTCTCTCTCCCTCTGCCCCTCTTCCTGGCTCTCTCTCTCAAATAAAGTTAAATAAAATTATATAAAATTAAATAAATGAATGAATCAATGAATGAATGAATAACACTACTAGAAACCAAGTTAAAGAGTCTTGCACTGGCCATAGATGGGGTAATTATTTAAGGACAATAGCTGTAATAAATTGAAACACAACAAATATGCTTAAATTCATGAGTAATAATAATGCTAAAACAAAGAACAAAAACAAAACAAATTGTACATGGGTAGACAATGTTAGAGAATTAAAGTCAATTAAAATTAGAATAGCCAAATCTTTGAATTAGACCACAGACTTTATAAAGCTGGAAATGTTCTATCACAAAGTACTGCCTCATCTACTTGTTTAATTTCCTAACCAATTTTCAGGAGACTTTTATTTTATTTCTAAGGTTATATAATTCAATCAGGTAAAAAAATAATATCAGTTTCCTCATGATTAGATTCAAGTGATGTTCTTTTTTGTTTTTTTCTTGCCTGAATACCATAGAACTTGTGCTGTGTTCTCCATGTATCAGGAGCCACATGATGTTATATGTCTCAATAGTGGGAATCATTTTCTTAACTTGGTTAAGTTTCATTTTTAACTGAGGCACAGCTTACAACATAAAATTAACCATTTTAAAGTTTGCAATTCAGTGGTATTTAATGCATTCACAGTACTTCTTAACCACCATTTGTATCTAGTTCCAAAGCATTTTCAACACTCTCAAAGAAAACCTCATACCTATTAACCAGTCATTCCCACCTCCCACTAATACCACAAATTTGTTTCGTGGATTTACTCTTTCTAGATATTTTATGTAAGTGAAATTGTATAAAAACAAACAAAATCAAATGTAAGCATGTTGTTAATTTATACCTACAATACATCTAATTAAAATGTATTTTATTGGTATCTCCGTTAACCATATTTCTAATATTTAAGGATATGAAGTATAATTTTTGAATAATGAAATATGAGAATAACCTTGAATATCATAAGCCAGTATCTCATTTTACAGATAGAGTACTTGATTTTGTATCTCCAAGACATCATCCACATAACAAGGGTTAGATGGCATTTCCATTAGTGAGTTGACCGTTCGGAAGAGTGCTGTCTGTGGGTGCCTGTCCTTCCCTTTTTCCAACATGGCAGAAGGTCTTCTTTTTTTGTTATCACTGTCGCATACTGAGTTCTCATCCTAGCCTTTGGGTGTGTTGGAAAAACATTTTATTTTCCTTCTGCTTCATGAATTGATAGGCTTTGCTATGGCAATTATTTTTATGGCTCATATTCATTACAGTGAGGAAGTTACTGCGGTGGGACGCAGATGCCCTAAACTCTTGCCCAAACCTGTTTGCGGCTCTATGGAAGGAGGCCGAAAGTCTGCTAAGCTAGGCAGAACGAAGTAGTCAGTGGGGCGTATCATAAAAGCAATCTTGGAGAGAGCTGCCAGAGAGAGGGTTCAGGAGTCTGCTATGGCCAGGACAGGCTGGGGGCAGGATGTGGGGTGAACGATCATGGAGTTGAAAGTTCACAGATGGTTTACCATGACACTATAATCATATCTGTTTGATGAATGAAAAATGGGCATTCCAGGCAGCCCAGGAAAGTGAAACACACAAATCCTTTCACTCTGCAAAGGCAGAAACACTTAACAGAATTAAGAGGATAAAAGGCCCTTAAACTCCTAAGTGAAATTCAGTGAGCTAATAAGAAGAAAGAAAGCCCTATATAATCACACATATGTTAGGAAAATTTTAAATAATCTGTAACAAAAAAGAAGTCAAAAGACTTAGTTTGTCTTGAGAGAACACAGTGTTTTCTATGAGGAGACCGACTGTTGGCCAGACCCCTTTTAGGGTGAGGGGTACAATTCGGAATCTCATCATGAATGTGGAAAGATAGTCACCAAAACAAACAAAGCTAAGTCCGATCCAGCTGTACTGAATTCCATGAGTGTTTAAATTCTTCGATTGATCTGGAGCTGTCCGGTGCTTGACTTTCTCATGTATAAAATGGTGTATCTTCCTATATATCTCCTAAGTTTACCATCGATCCAATCAAATAACGTATGCACAGCAGAGGCCTCTGTTGTCTCACGGCACCTTCCTCCTGCTAAAACGACAGAGTTTAGAGGCTCATCCAGCACCCAAAATTCCGACCTGCCTCCTATCTAATCTTAGCAAGAATATTAGCAAGCTGAAAGAGAACAAAAGCTTAATGAATTAGTCTACATCCTCTATTCCCTTGGAAACCACAATTAACATTTGAAATAAGTAATCTCAAGGATGTGCTATTCCTAAGATCCTCCAGGTTCTAGTATATAAGAAATAAGAGACCAGAAAGCTACATCCCTTGATTACTTTGCTGCATTTCTTCATGGCAATTTCTTACAGGACTATAATTTGAAATGTTGACCTTGATCTCATGAAGAACAATTTTGTATCGTAAACAGAACTCATGTTCAAGTGCTGGTCCATTATGCTATAAAACATTCTTTGGGAAATCTATGTTAAAAGGGCATTTTAGCTGACTCGATCTACACTGTGACAGTAAGACCATGTCATCACCTCAGTAAGTATGGATTAAAAAAGTAGTCTTGCATTCAATATTAGAGACAACTGAGTTTTTCCTGGTGAAAGCATATTATTTTCATTTTTAGTGTGATGAGAACTACATAATTCTGTACAATTCCCTGTTTGATTCTGACCTACGGAGAGACAAAAGGGATCAATGATTTGGAAACAGTGAGGAAGCTGGACCTGAAGCTTCTCTTCCCCTCAGAAACTCAGATGCCCAAAAGGCTGTCAGGTGTTAGCTACAGGCAAACTGATTTTTCTCCAGCCACAAAACTGCTCTTTGTTCATCTCATAAAATGACAGAACGGTAATGAGGCAGGTCCCTTGCCTGGAACAAAGCCCCATGAGTGTCCGGCTAGACCCAGTCCACCTGTACCATTGCACAGGATTCAGAGACCACAGGGGCCCTCCTGACCATTCTGCCCGTGAGTTACAGCCGGCACATATTGACATTGCTTGCTCTTTTGAGTCCTCTTACTAGGAAACTCAGAGCTAAATCCTGAGGTGAAATGTCCTAGGGCTTTGATGTAAACATTTCAATATTCACTACGGTTCTTGTTTTTGTTTATTACAAATCATTACTTTAATGGTCCTATTATGTCTATTATTATAAGCCAGTTCAAATCTTTTTGGGAAGTAAACAGAGTTTAAATAATAAATAAGTGAAATAAATAAATCCCTTTTCTTTGCCCAGCATGTGCTATGTACTTTGGAGGACATGACAAAACATAATCACTGTTCTCCCAGAGATTCCAGTAGCAACTGGGGGATGAGAAATACACTTGTTAAACAACTAGAGAATATTTTAAGACTATCATTTTTACTGCTCAGTTGTCTGATACAGACTGTATCTACTATAGAGATTCAGAAAAACGTGAGTTCAATATAAACAGAACTGGCCTGAGAAAGCTGCATACACGGGATGAGATATGTTCTATTTCATGTCACTTCTCTGGTCCAGAGCTCCCAACCAGTATGCCAAGTAGATATTGATCACCTCTTCCCCCAGGGTAACTGGGCAGGACAGGAGGCAGCAAGAGCAGCATCTGGCTGGGAGCAGCTTGCTCTAAGCCTTTAATTGCCCTCAATTTTACTCGAGAGGGTCACATAAACATTATCATCTTCTTTGTGTGAAAAGCAGTCTCATGATTGGGTCTAGGGAAGATGAAACTATTTTACTGTATTAATTTCAGCTTCCCGTATTGGATTGCATTCAGTAAAATTTCCCTTAAACAGAATCCAGCTAATCTGAATCTTTCTGGCTGAACTGTTGGCTTTGCAAACAGTTTTCAAAAATTTACAGTCTCATAAAAATCAGTCGCTGCTCCTGCTTGCTGGAAGCAATTCTGGCCAACTAAGTAGTTCATTCACTCATTCTCTCTTGGGTATTCAATAGTTTCTTGTTAGTTGATTGTTGCTTCCATAAAAAATAATCTCTTTCCTTTCCACTACTGTTTAGGCAAGCTTACTTTCCATTACATTTGACATTAAAATATATGTGTCTATATGTAGTAATATTCAGATTAACATATAATCTATGTAGGTATATATATCTGAGAGTAACACCTTATATTACAAAAAAAAGAGAAAAATATACTTTGATTTATTATCAGTCATGAGGCTTCTACCTTCACATTTCCAGATCAGCCAAAAATTTAAGTTCTTTCGGTGAACAGAGTTTTAATCATTTTCATAACCCAAACAGCATCTTTACATAAAAACTACAAGACAGTGAAAACCAAAATAAACAGCAAACTTCCAAATGTTCATGTTTGGCAATGTAAAATATCTACAGATATAAATATTAAAAAATCAACAATTTGAAAAAAAATAAAGAAATGAAAATGAAAAAAAATATATATATAGCAAAAATATTCTGAGAACCAAAGCCCTCAGTGGCAAGGAAGAGACTTTAGATGTAGCTGTCTAGAATATCATTCAGTCCTTCAGGCGGATACCAAAGATCCTTCAAAAAAGAACCCAGTAGTAGTTTCCAGATGAAGATATCTGGCTTCGCATCCTTATGTACCTACTGGGAATGCTTCCAAAGTTCATGTCCTCTAGGCTTGTGGAACTTATCTTCTGTGTTACAACTAGTCAACTTTGTTGTTGTAGGGGAAGCAGCCAGAGACACTACATTATCAAATGCACATAGCTGTGTTCCAATAAAACTTGATTTATAGACACTAATAATTGTTTTCAATTATTAAATATGAAATAAATATTTTCAAATTATAATATTATTTTGATTTTTTTCAACAATTTAAAAATGTGAATATATTTTTACCATATGGAGTCTACAAAAACAAGTTGTTTTGAGCCCTCTGGATATACTTTCCTGACTCCGAGCCTACATCACTGGTTTGCAATTTGCGGCTCATAAACTCTACACTGGTCAGAGAGGAGAGTTTTGAGCAAAGAGGTATTACAAAGAATCTTCAAATGAATGAATGTCTCTAAACTAAATAAATATTTTGTCTCATGCATATGCTATTTTTTCAAAATTATGTAGATATAATTGAAATTAGTAAAACAAAAAATCATAGTACCTTCAAGGAATTTAACAAGATAGTACAAGATAGTGAAACAAATTTGAATCCATCTACTCCTAAAGAGTGGCTTTATTTGTGTCTGTTCACTAAGAGTGTATCAGGTTTAATCTTTAGAATGAAATGAGGCACAAACAGAATATGAATGAATGAAAGGAAGGAAGAGAGGGAACCAGGGAGGGAATGACAAAAGGAGGGAGAAAGATCTGAACAGGACAAGACCAAATAAGACATAAAGAGCATGATCTCATTGGGAAAAAGATACCAAAAAAATCAAAAGAGATAGAGAGATAGGCATTGTTTGCAATAGAGCTCTCATGTATCAAGTGATGATTTCTAATCTTTCCATGACAGATAAAACCGTAACATTAAAGCAACTATATAATAGAGTCACACATGTCATTACTTTTACAAGCACAATTTTTAAACCTAGATAACTCCTTCATTTACATGCAAAATCTTCCAAGGGTGCCAGGAATGTCAGCTTTTATGTCAAATGCAAACTTCCAATTGCAGAAAGAAGAAAAGTAACCAACAAAAAGGACTTGGGGCACTAGAAAGATTATAATTATGTGATAATTATAACCAATGAACAGTATAAGAGTAAGAAATAACATTTATAGAAGGACAAGCTGGTATCTAATAGAATGGATCCAGTTAACTTGGCAAGTTGGCAAAGAGAAAAAAATATTTCTGGAAACTTGAGAAAATTTAAAAAAACATATGATTTTTACAAAGAAACTTAATTATAGATACATTTGACTATGGCCACTGCGGTTTATTATGAAACCAAATTGCTAGCTAAAAGAACTGAAATCCAGCTGTGAGTAAATATGCTAAAATTTAAATATGTACCAAAATACAATTACATATGAATTTATCATATCAAACAATTTATTAAATGCTTCCCCATAATGAGATCTTAATAATCAATCTTTAAAATATCCCTACATATGATATTAATTATATGGTTTCTGTATATTAAAAGGACATATATGTGTCTGTATCTATCTTTATTGGTTTCCACTGTGCAAACAAAACTCAATAATATAAAAATGAAAACCAGTATGTTTAAGAATAAAGAAACTGAAAAATTAGAAAAAAAGAGAGAGTATATGCCGAGGTGAAGAAGTGGGAAAGATTAAGAAAAAAAAAAAAAGTACAAGCAGAGGAGAAAGAAAAAGAAGGAACAGTGGATGTTTGGGGACGATACATAGAGAAAGTATTGCTGTTTTACCCTCTCAAGCTGATATTCTGGAGAAGGGGTGTGGCAGACATTACTATCCATGATAAATTACATAGGGTTTGTACACAAATAATAGTTTAAGACACTTAGGTCCATAAACTTAAATCTGTACCTTCAATTAAGATTCCTCTGAATACAAGGCTTCATCCAATTCACTCAGTGGAGGAAAGGAAGAATTTCTGATTGGAGTGATTTGTCTTAAGACACAATGAAGAGGTGGGAGAGATGTTGTCATATCATTTCCAAATGATGTTTCCAGACCCCGGTGTGTAGTTAACAAGTAAACAATACGGGCTTTTATCCATCTCTTAACAATATCCTGTTTTAAAGCAGCACAGGCAATATGTATGTTTTCAATAAATGTGTTTATTCCTTTTTCTGCCCTATCCTTTTCCTTTTCTGTGGAGGGCTTTACTGACACCAGCACAGGCTGCCTGCTGTCCCATCAGGATCTAGTGTCCCTTTCTTCTCTAGTGGTAGAAGTGTCAGCTGGGGGACATAGCACACAGCTGAAGATGTGTTCCCCAATGTTCCTCATGTGGCCTTGAGACAGGTTCTGGCCATTAAAAAGAAAGTGGACATGACTTTGCAATTTGTGGGGTCCATCAGCCAAAAAGAGAACATGCTCCCCCCTACTCTTTTACTTTTTCCAATATTTTCCCTTTTCTCAAAGGCCATGTGATGACAGAAGCTAGACAAACTTTTCTCCTACCTTTATCTTCATGACTTACCTCACATCATCTCTCATAGCACAGATTACCTTCTAATAACATAATGCACATGAGTTACTCATTATATTCATGTTGTTACTCTTCTGTAGGAAAGGTCAGAGTTCAGCGGGGGATGGGGGGGGAGAGGGAGGAGGCGAGTCCTGTTTGTTTCCCTAGCATCTAAATCACCTCAAGATACATAGAATGTGCTCAATAAATAATTGAATAAATGAATATTCATATGAACAAAACCAGAAGAGCTTGGAAAACTAGAAATGTATAGACATTCTTGAAATCTCTAGTAGCAACATTTAGTTTGGATTATGACTTAACATGCCTACTTTGTTTAACTTCTCTTTCTGAATTTCTGCTTACCTAAAAGGAGGAAAAAGGCATAAATTGGTTATAGGATTCTTTGGTCTTTCAAGCAAGACCCAAAGGAGAAAGAGAGTCAGAATTGGGACATTTAAGAAAAAAAGGCAAAAACTAAAAAAAATGGAGGAAAAATGAGAGAAGAAAGGAAAAATATGTTTGGATTTGGCAGCGAACAATTAGGCAAATTTATACACACACACAGAGACATTGTGTATATATATTCACAACATCTTCTTTTTAAACTGCTGCATAATATTCTATATTATATCTTTAGCCAGTGCATAACAAATAATACTGCAGTGAAAATCCTTTTGTACAGCTCCCAGTGTTTTCTATAGAAGTTATCAGGAATTGAAGTACAGAGTCACAGAATACAAGCAATTTCAAAATTTTAGTAAATATTATCAAATAACCCTTTACTATCAGTAACCTGATATTATTTCACTGGAATTAAATTATTTTATATATAATATATAATTATTTTACTGGAATAATAATTTAAAAGCATGTAAGTAGTAGGCATTGTGTATCTCTATAAATTTTTACCCTTCTAAATGATGGGAAATATACAACAATTGGCTCCATGTCATTAAGGGAAAATAAGTTAGAAAGAAGTAATTGACTTCATTATATACCTTCTAGGATTAGGAACAAGTAGGCTTCAACCATTCATTGAAAAAATATGTATCTAGCCCATTATTGGTCAATCAGTCTTCCAATTATTGAGAATAGAATAGTGAATAAAACACAGTCCTTGCTAACAAGGAATTTACATTCTAGTGAGAAGGAACAGTCAAAACACAAATAAATTAATGACTGGACTATGACTTACGGTGACAGGTGTTGTGGAGAAATATAACCCTGGATAAAGAGGTAACAGCTGGTGGGATGTGAGGCTTGGTACCCTTTACAGGATGATCAGGGAGGGATTTTTTTGACAAGGTGACACTTAGATAAAAACTGAAGGATGCAAGAGAGTAAATCATGTGGATATCTATGAGAACGGTACTATAGGTTGCAGACACAGCAACAAAGCCAGTGTGGCTGAAGGGAAGGGATGAGGGGGAAGAAGTAAGAGAAGAGGACAGGGATTACAGGGTTGGAGTTTGTGACCAGAGGAGTGACACGATCTACCTTTCAAGGCACCTGTATTAAAAATAGAGTCTAATGGTGTCTGGATGGCTCAGTCAGTTAAGCATCCAACTCTTGATTTCAGCTCAGGTGATTATCTCATGGTTCTGTTCATGAAATCGAGCCCCAAATCAGGCTCTGCACTGATAGTAAGGAACCTGCTTGAGATTCTCTTCCTCTCTCTCTCTCTCTGCTCCTCCCACACTGGCATTCTCTCTCTCTCTCTCTCTCTCTCTCTCACACACACACACACACACACACACACACACACACACACACAATAAATGAACATTTAGAAGGAAGGAAGGAAGGAAGGAAGGAAGGAAGGAAGGAAGGAAGGAAGGAAGGAAGGGAGGAAGGAAGGAAGGAAGGAAAAGGAAAAGGAAAAGGAAAAGGAAAAGGAAAAGGAAAAAGAAAAGGAAAAGGAAAAGAAAAAGAAAAAGAAAAAGAAAAAGAAAAAGAAAAAGAAAACCCAACATAATCTAAGAGGGAATGGTAAAAGGATGGACCCAAAGTCCGTCCCAATCACTGCCAACAATCCTGGCCAGAGGTGATGATGGCTGGAACTGGGAGGTAGTAGTAGGCACAGTGGTCAGGTTCTTCAATTCAGATCAGATTCTCTTCCTTCCTTCTCTTCATATGCATACATTTTCCATCATAAATGCACAGAATATATTCACATACACAAAAGATACACATCAAGATATAAGCAACGCTCAATAAAAAATGAACAAGTGAAACTAAATTTTCCATAAAGTATCCTTCTCTTGTCTTGGAATAGACAAATGCAAAACAAGGCAACAGACCTCAACGATCAATCATGTCAATTTCTTAAATGAATGTAGGTTGTTTTCTGCTTGCAAAAGCCCAAGTACTAGTCCCTTTATTTCCTTACCAGACTTTTAGTCTTCTCAGCATATAACCAAGAGAAGTATTTAAGGATTATGCCTACCACTGACAAGGTGGGTCTTTGGACAGTGATTTATTAATTGTATAGTCCCAAAAGTCCCATAAATAATGATCATGGTGGAGCACCCGGGTGGCTCAGTCAGGTAAGCATCCCACTCTTGATTTTGGCTCAGGTCATGATCTCACAGTTTAGTTCCACTCTCACAGTGCAGAGCCTGTTTGAGATTCTCTCTCCCTCTCTCTGCTCCTCCCCCCACTCTCTAAATAAATAAACCTTAAAAAATAATAATAACTATGGAAACACAAGTAAATTCTTAATTTTATTAGAAGGTCTGACCAAGTATCAACATCTCCCCTGAGAAGAATTTACACTTACAGTTGAATCCAATTACCCCTTTACAGGACACTATTAAAGGAACAAATGTGGTAGTCTGTGAATGTGATGTACACATACGTGTGTACACATGTGTGTAAATAACAATCCCTAAGCATTAAAAGCACTCCCCAAATGACAGGTGTTGTTTTTTACTATCACATTAAGTAAATATTACTTGGAAAAGCAATTTATCTTCAGTTAAATACTGTACTTTTTCCCCCTCAAATAAAACACAAAAGTAGGCATATTCTGAAGGACTGAGAGGCTTACAATACTAGCCACCAACCATTTAGATCTCTTTATTTTCAATCTATGCTGTGATTCTGGAAGGGAAAGAAAAACAAAACAGAACCATGCAATTCAGCAGCTCCAGTGACAGGTTTTTCCTTGCCTGCTAATTGCTCAGTAAAGAGCAAGGTCTGATTTCTCCTGGACTATTTCCTCCTGCTATTAACAAAAAAAAGGAAAAAAAAGGCTATTATTTATTGAGCATTTATTATCTGCCTAGCATTGTCCTAAGACTTAACACAAAGCAGCTCTCTTGATTATCCCAATAATAATGATTAACCCCATTTTAGATGATGACATTGCAGCCAGAAATGTTAAACAACATTCCCAAATCTCTCAACAGGCAATGGGCAGACTACCAATGGCATAGTGACTGCAGAGACCTCACACCCATTATGCCACACTCCTTCCCATCTACACTTACAAGCTTATTCAATGACATTCTTGCAAACTACAGCAAACCTTCCTACATGGCTCACATCTTCTGTTGAACTTAATGCTTCATCTTTCTGACTCATTGAAAGAGTCCTGCCTTTACTGTAACAGGAAGTCATTCAATTTCTCTCCTTTTTTGAAACATGATAATTCACTTCTAAGAGAACACACTGAAAGGCAGCATGTGACTAACAAAGGGCTGTAGACCTTGAAGAGGCTTTATCTTCCTGTTTGTTATATCCTCTAATCTGCTCTGACAACAAAATTGATAGAGCACAACTAATCTCATTTTTTTCAATGGCCCTTTCAATAAAAACAAAAATGTAAATCATTTGATATGTGTGGATAGACACATAAATGTAATTTTCCAACCCCCCACCTCCATCCAGCCATCCCCTTTGCCATAGTGACAGCTGTTAAGTTTGCCCCATAATGTGTGATATTCATTTTTATCAAGTCTATTTGTCTCTGAACTTGCCTTTCATGGATGAGGACCTAATTACCCTTAGATCCTGTTATTCTCTTGTCTTGTCTATGTAAGCTGCTCTAATGAACCCATGGTGACAGGAAAAAGATAATTAAGACCACTGGAGAGAAGGGGAAATAAATAGGAAGAATAAAAAGCTACCATGGACCATATAAATCTGAAAGTCAGATGTTTTAAGGGAATTGCTTTCTGTTTATCAGGACCTGATTTTCAGAGTACTCATAATTTTATTTTCTTGTGTATTTCTTTTCAGTTCTCCTTTACATTTTTTGGCCTAATGAAAGGAACATGGACTAAAGAAACTAAGCAACTTACTTATTTCAGCCTCAGTTTCTTCATCTATAAAATGGAGGTAAACACACATTCAAAAAAGTTTGTTGTAAGGTGCAAATTGATTTATGTATATAAAGAACCTAGGGCAGAGAATGGAATGTAATACACACACATGTAAACATATACATGCTTAGTTGGTATCAATGTTCATGGTCATTCATAGTCACCTAGTATTTAATATGGGTTACATATAGAAATTTGGACAACCTGTCTAAAGAAAAAATAACTTTTATTAGCAAAGACCATATAGCCATAGACAAAGAATAATTTGAAGGATTAGTTCACTTCTTACTTAATAAACAGATTTAAAAAAAAAAAGCAAACCTGAAAATGCCACACTTCAAAATGGGAAGTTCTAATATTATTTCAGGTGACTTTCATTAAGTTCTGATAATTAAAAAATATAAATTAATACATATGGATGTCAAATCTAGGTCTAGGAAAGTTGAAGAAGACAATATAAGTGCTAATAACGTTTTCACATCCTGAATTGATTTCCAGTAAAGTGAATTTTAAGCAAAATGCATCTTTTATTCATATTTCTCACTATTCATTCAGTGATATTTCCATTTGGTAAAAGATTTTTCAAGAGATATCGCTAGTGAATGCCAAAACAGGGGAAAGCTCTTTGCTTTAGATATAATAAGCCTTTTCATGGCAATATCTATTTTATCTGCCTATTAAAGGTCTCTATATGCATGGCAATATTTAGTACATATACCACATAACAGTGAAAAGTCTCCAATTTATTTCAACCAAAGCTACCACCTTGTTTCCTTTTAGAAATGAAATACATTATTTGCTAAGGCGTCTAGGACTAACCATGTGATGGTGGGAAAGTTACACAACAACAAACCACTCATGTTCCTCATTGGCAAAACAAGATCAGACTAGATGTTTCTCTATACCCATCCAAACTTTTTTCACATTTATTAAACAGATATTAAACAATTATTTACTCAGTATATAGTATTGAACAGGGAGTCAGAAGAGAGAGAGAAAGGAAGAATTCATGCCCCTTCCACAAAGAATTTACCATCTGTCAGATACATCATCATGGCAGCCAAGCTCTGGTTCAGTCTTCTTCCCATAAAAGAATGAAGTTGTGTCCCAGAGCCTTAGCACTTTCATTAACCATGTATGACCATCTCATAAATTGACAGCAGATGAGAGTGTGGGCATAATTTACCTTCACTCATCACTACTACTGGGAAAGAAGGGCAGTGCCTTCTTCCCCCTAAAAGACATTTTTGTTTTCTTTGCAAAACAGAGATCACAATACTTCTGACATACAATTAATGCTTCAGATATTTGAATCCAGTTTAAATAATCACACTTAAATTATTTGATTCTCACACTGGACCTGCTTCCCTGGGGAGTATCTTGCTTCTAAGTCTCTAATTTCAGCAGTTTGGGAATAGCACTGACTTTCAGGCAGAGGTCTGAATTATAACTCCTATAATTCAGCTGCAGTGTTTGCCTGCAGTTTAATTTCACCTTTCTTATTTCTTAAGTTTATGATAACCTTGCTTTTCGTTTTTATTCACTGCTTCACACATCTGAAATAACAAAAGACGAAGGCTATACTTTCATTCCCCAAACTTTAATTTCTCCAACTTTCAAAGTTGAGTTTTAAAATTAAAATGTCTTGTTATTTTTCTACCACATAATCCAGAGTGCTTTTTATTCACAGCTTTAGAGAAGTTACCATTATTTTACCTTCCTTACTTTGTCTTTGAAATCCCCTAAATGCCCTTGCAATTTTATATGGGCATAAGACTAAAGTAAAATTTGAAGTATAAGCATCCTCTCTGCTGATCTTGAATATCCAGGGAGTTTCTATTGTGTGGCACAAAAATCTTAATTTATTGCATATTTCTATTTCTGGGAAAATACTGACTCTAATGGAACAACATAGAAATATCAAGTAAATATTTGGGGCTGGGGAGGCTATATCATTAATATTCCTCTATTTTACATTTATCAGTTTTATTTAAAATTGGAATTAATGCAATAATAATGAAAATATGAAGCTTCAAAAGGAGAAGAATCAAGCTACCTATTAATGTCACAGAAACCTGATAATGACTTTTATGTAACAAAATACACAAAAAAGTTGTTTTACAAATTTAATGGTATCTAATATGGTTACTGCATTCTTATCATTTCCTCTTAAAGAGTCTGTTCTGTCATTTTCTTTGTTTCATTTTATATACACTTTTATATGTGTATACATATGCACAAATGATGTGTATTTGTGTATATATATATATGTACACCCATACATATTTCTACCAATGTTCTTTACCATTCACTGTCTACTCTCTCCTCAGTGCAGGTCTTTCCTTTGTATATAACCCAACCTACTACTCACCAAGCTCAAGATATGGAGATGTGTTGAGCTCTTAAATGGCTTATGTCTCATCCAAGATAATTTGTTGGTGAAACACAGACATACGTAGCATTAGCATTCACTGTCAGACATTGAGATACAAAAAGTAATACTAACCTATTTTTTGGAACACAAAACAATGCACAAACTTCCATTATACTGACTGTTCAGTTGTCACCAGAGATTCAAATATATATAGAAAAAAAAGTGCTATTGCAGATAAAAAGACAGATAAAAGGGACATTGCAAACCAAAAATTGGAAGAATGTCTCTCTTTTTTGTAAGATAACTTCTTTCTGACCTCTTACCTTGTCTGTAATCCTCAAGCCATCTGTCCTCTCACATCAGTTTTCCCCCCACACACAGAAAGAGATAAATGAGATCCACATTCTTTTTCTTTTAAATTTGCCTGACGGAATTCAATTGAAATCATAATTGAAGTTCAGACATCTCTTAAAATACAGAACAAAACCACTCTTTGAAGTATGATTATAAAATAATAGTCTTAGATTTTAAACTTTAATTTTACTTATTACATTGTAAATTTGGTTCCATACTCTATAATATTCAAACTGTGGAAGTCATAAATAGAAGTAATAAATAGTAATAAAGAGGTAGCTCAAATTTAAAAAAAATAGTCCATCTTTTATTTTTATAAGATTTATAGTATCAAACTTCTGCCAAAACATTCCATAAGGAGTTTCATGTTTTGGCATAAGTCACAGTTAAAACAGTTACACTGATATACAAATTTTCAGTATCAATCAACTTATGAAATACAGACGTGACATTTTTGTTCTCAGAATCTCCCAGGGGCAAAATTAAGCTACACCTGAGACAATCAAGAGACCGCAACACAGTGACTAATGCACTTTACCACTGATATGTCACAATGGACCATGTTATCCTTCTACAAGTTTACCTCAGCACTAAATGCCCTTCTCTAAGCTCTAAACCTGGAGACTTCCCCTTACTCACCAAATTAATGCCTAATCTAATTTGATCAAACAAAGAATAATTCCAAAAGACATTATGTAAGTAAAGTCTTACACCATACCACACAAAGATAATGACATTTTAAAACAGAGAAAATATCCTCATTCTACTTTAATACAAAGACTACCAATCAGACAAGGAGCCCATCTAAGAATCATACAAAATCAAAATAAAGGATTTGCCTACAGAACCAAGTCACCATACAAATTTCACATCACCACTACGCCTCTGTGCTTGGCCCAGAGAATGTAGAAATTTCTGTTCTCTGATATTACACCTACCAAAAGATTGCAGTCTTTCAAATGACATTGTTCAAATCAATCTTATGACCTAACAAAAGATCGCAGTCATTCAAATGACATTGTTCAGAACACTGGCCTGCAAGTTTCCTCACCAACAATTTAACACATGGTCCTAAATGGACACATATCACATCAGCTCCCAAGTCATTAGGGTAGGATTTTTCAACCCTGGCACTGTTGACATTTGGGCCAGATAATTTTTCATATTGCATTTTAGGTTGATTATCAATATCCCTGGCCTCTACCATTAGTGCCAGTAGTACCTCCCTGTACCTGAGTGTGCCAACCAAAAATGTCTTCAGACACTGCCAAATGTACGCAGGATTGTGATAGACAGCATGCGCCAAATCGTCCCTGGTTGAGAATCACTCCATTAGCTTAATTGGTCACATGGTCTAACCTAAATATTTGAAGCCAAGAAATGCAATTCTACCAATATATCTCGTAGGCAAGGAAGTGGAAATACTTCATGACTATTTCAAGAACTATTTAAACACAGCAATGATTCTCAAATTCTAGTGCTCATAAAAATCACTCCAGGGATGCCTGGGTGGCTCAGTCAGTTAAGTGTCCAATTCTTGATCTCTGCTCAGGTCATGATATTGCAGTTCGTGAGATCAAGCCCCATGTCAGGTTCCGTGCTGATAGTGTGATGCCTGCTTGGGATTCTCTCTCTCTCTCTCTCTCTCTCTCTCAAAATAAATAAATAAACATTTTTTTAATTCACTCTAGCGAATTTTTTTGTTTTTTGTTTTAAATACTCTGGCGCCAGCTTTAGGGATTCTAATTCTCTAAACACAGGTAACTGCTTAAGTAGCACTGAAGATGACATCATTAGATGGAATCAGGCAGAGGACCTCACTCTGACTCTTACAGGACCTGGTTAAGGACAGTTAACAACATTTCAAAGAGAAGGAACTAGAGATTGATATATCAGCATCTACTGCATAGCCTTTAGAACTTTTATTATGTATAGTGAATATATTGTTTATTCATTCAACAAATATTTATTTAGCATGTATTTCAGCCTAGAAACACTGCAGTGAACAAAACCCACAAATTTCTCTACCTTCATCAATTGTATGTTAGTAAATTTAAAAATTCTCAACATTTTCTTCCTTCCCTACTTCCTTCTTTCCATCATTTTTCTTCCATTTCTTTGCTTTTTTTCTTGATTTTATAAAGTCCCAAAAAATAGATTTTATTGAGAGATTAGTCCATGTAAATACACGGTAGACTCTGTATGAATAATTGGATTTAAGTAACTGTGATTTCTTTTTATTTATTTTGTATATTGCTATATTCTCTTTATGTCCCAAATTAATTAAAAACTGCTTTTCTTATTGTTTTTTCTTTGAAAGAGTAAGCTTTTAGATAAGTTAACATTTCTTTAATTTTCTTTTAAAGGCATTGAATTTTTTCTGAATGTTTTGACTATAATCCTATTTCTGCTCACAGATTAAATGACATTATTTTATATACTTTTTTGTAATTTTAATTTTCCCTTTCTTTTAAGAATTATTTAAGAAATAAGGGGGTGGCTGGGTGGCCCAGTCGGTTAAGAATTATTTAAGAAATTTGCATTTCATTTGCAGGTGGTTATATCTATTATTTATTTTTTTTGGTGTTGTGAAAAATTCCTACTTAATTGCTTTAAGATCAGAAAATGTTTTCTGTAATATTTCTAGATTTTAAATTTATAATATCGATGGTCAATTCAATTTTTGTAAATATTCCATGGGTAGTTGAATTGATGACATAGTCAAAAAACCTTATTGTGGTTCATTTAATTTCTTTAGTTTCTGATATTAATCTCTGTTGACATTTGTATCTCTGTGTATGCATATGTATATTAGGGTTTTCTCCTTTTTTCATCATCAATCAGTGATTTAGCTTCGATCAAGAGAGGAGCCTAGATGGCGAAGTAAGAGGACCCTAAGCTCATCTCCTCCTCCCACAAATACAAATAGATAATACATCAGCATAAATAACCCAGAAAATGACTGGAAGATTGGCAGAACAAACCACAACTAAAAGTAGAGAAGAGGCCACATCAAAGAGGGTCAAAAGGGCAGAGACATGGCGCAGAGCAAAATGGACCACAACAGTCTGGGGGGCGGGTAGGAAGCACTGGGCATGAAGAAGGGAGTGAAACAGACTAGCATACCAGGACACCTGAATGGAGAACACAAATCCCCATAACATCATTTAACTTTGAAAGCAAGAGAAGACAAATTTCATGAGGTCTTACAACCAGCAGGACTTAAAATCTAGAATTTTAAATATCAGTGGGGTTGGTTCTGGAAGGGCCCCAGAGGGCCATGGGAGAAGGGTGCCCTTAAAGAGATAGCAGACAAACAGCCTGTGGAGTTAGAGTATAGAAGCAGCAGCTTGAAAAACACATAGGGCATATGAGAGTGAGAGCTATTTACTCATCTCAGAACGTGTTGTGGAGTGACAGAGATCACAGGAAGACCCCTCCAGGGACAAAGGAGCTGGCTGGTACCATTTTCCACCCTTGACCTTCAACATAAACACAGGGCTATCTGCAGGAACCAGAATGGTGGCAACATTCACTACCTAACTTGTGTATACCAAGCCCCACCCCTCCAACCTTTGGCAGATGTGCTCCACACAACAGGTCTCCTCCCCAAGAAGACTGGCACAAACCTTGCCAACACTGTATCTTTCACTCAGTGCTTTCAGGAGCTTGGTCCCAGTAGCAACAGCAGCTGCTGTGGCAATGGTGATGGGCCCTACAGAAGCCCTTGTTAGGGGCGCCTGGGTGGCTTAGTCGGTTAAGCGTCCGACTTTCGCTTAGGTCATGATATCGCGGTTCATGGGTTCGAGCCCCGCGTTGGGCTCTGTGCTGACTGCCAGCTCAGAGCCTGGAGCCTATTTCAGAGTCTGTGTCTCCCTCTCTCTCTGACCCTCCCCTGCTCACGCTCTCTCTCTCTCTCTCTCTCCCTCCTAGAAATAAATAAAAATATTAAAAAAAACTGTACTCCCCCCACCATGCAGCCCCCATCCTTGTAGAAGAAGCTGTAGGTCTCATTTCACAAGTAGACCAAAGCACACCTTGTTAAAACTGTGTGCCCCATCCCAGCTTTAGACCAAACACTACCCATAAAAGGCAAGGAGAGCCTCTGCAGACAACTAGACTGAGGGAAAAGGCAGCCAGGACACAACAGTAGAACACATGCATCACATATAGAGACTTTCCCTGAAACACCAGGCTCTAGGGAATAGGGAAATTTCACTGCAAGGTACCACAAGAACTCTTCTTTATAAGGCAATTACTTTCAAGAAAAAGAGATATAGCCGACTTTCTTAATACACAGAAATAGACACAGAGAGATAGACCAAATGAGGAGACATAGGAATATGTCCCAAATTAAAATACAAGATAATAGCACAGCAAGAGACCTAAGCAAAACAGATTTAAGGATAAGAACAGATAGAGAATTTAAAGTAATGATCATAAAGATACTCACTGGACATGAGAAAAGAGTGGAGAACATTGGTGAGGTCCTTAACAAAGAGATGAAAAAGAACCAATCAGAGATGAAGAACATAATAAGTGAAATTAAAAATACATGTGTGGAATAAATAGCAGACTAGAGGAAGCAGACGATCAAATGAGCAACCTGGAAGACAGAATAATGGAAAGTAATCAAGCTGAGTAGGGGAGAAGAAAAAAATTATGCAAAATGAGAATAGACTTATGGAACACAGTGACTTACTGCATCAAGCATAATAATGTTCACATGATAAGGTTTCAGAAGAAAAGAGAGCAGAAAATTTAAGAAATAATAGATGAAAACTCTCTAATCTGGAGAAGAAAACAGATATCCAGTTCCCAGAGATGATGTAAAAAATCAGCCCAAGGAGGTCCACACCAAGATATACAGTAATTAAAATGTCAAAAAGTAGTGATAAAGAAAGGATTTTAAAAGCATCAAGAGAAAAGAAGACAGTTACATACAAGGGAAACCCCCATAAGGTCATCAGCAGATTCTTAAAAAAAAAGATTGGGAGCCAGAAGAGAGGAAGAAGATATATTCAAAGTGTTAAAAGGGGAAAATCTGCAGTCAAAATACT